TGTATGGATAAAAAGTCTAAATTCACTGTCTTACTATATTCAATGACTCCACATGTTAAAAGAATCATTGACTCCATATATTACCAAAAACACAACATAAAAGCATAGCCATAACCCTCATTTTTTTTGTGAGATCTACATCAAAAGCATTCTAGTGAAGAACTCCATTGTGAAGAATCCATTGCAAAGAGACTAACAAAAATGTCAGAATCTCCTTCTAAGAAGATGAAACCCACTGAAGTTTTGCCTGAAGATATGGTTGAGCATATACTATCAACCTTCCTTCCCATTCAGTCATTTTTACGAAGCCGCATGGTGTCCAAAAGATTCAGGAAGACACATATTCGATGCAGAGACCTTGATTTCAGCGGAATATATTCTGTGAGGCGCAACCAATTAGAAGCTGTGCACATCGTTGAAAGCGTTTTTAATCAGCACAAGGGATCAGAGATCAACCGATTTGTTATGACTCTCAATCATATCGGCGTGGAGGATAAGATACTTTCGTGGATCAATACGTGTCTAGGTAAAAACATCCAAGAACTTGAGTTAGATTTCTCAAAATCTAAGAAAGTCATAGAGATACCGGTCAATTTCTCAGCTATCGAGACACTCACCGTCTTGAAGTTGTGGTGCTGTAAATTCCAAATACCGGATAATTCTCTAAAGGGTCTAAAGCTGTTGAAGACACTTTCTCTAATGCGGGCCGAGGTAACAAAAGATATGATAGATGCAATATTCAACAACTGCATCTACCTTGAGACGCTTGAACTAATCAAATGCCGAATGAGCGAGGTATTGAGCATCAATGCTAGGAATCATAAGAAGTTCAAATCGCTGGTCGTGTATTCTATGCCGAAGGTCTTGGAAATTGTTTTGGATGCACCTACTCTTGAATGCTACAACTATGATGGACATGTCAGGATGATCGACTTTTCAAGTGTAAATGCACTAAAAGAGGCAAAGCTCCTATACTATAATCGGAGATACAATTGGCGTAAGTCATATAACATGGTGATTGCTAACTTGGAACCCTATACTGGAGTTCATGTCCTCGCAACAACAAACATCTTTCTTGAGGTAATTTTTTATTTAGTTTATAAAATATCTATATATTTTGCGGGTTTATTGACATATATATTTGGATTTTATGGTATCCTTTTGAAATAATATGCACGAGATAAGTTCATCAAAAATGTTGATATTAGAGCATGTAATTTTGACTTGATTTTCCTCTCCATCGTTAGAACGGGTTACTTGCTTTCATATGATTGAAATTGCTATAAATCGGTAGTAAATTTTATGGACTAAAATAACATTATAGTTAAGGAGAACACAATGTTACGATCGTTCTAAAAATTATTTTTAAAATACTATAACATTTTACATAAAGGAAATTTTGCTGGAAGTTCAAGTGGTTGTCTATTGCAAGAAATATTATTAGCCATAATTTTAAATCGACGTAATAAAAATCATTTATTAAAGAAAATATAGAACCTAAAAGTTAGTAATTACTAATAACTTGATTCTTTTTCTTTGTTAAAATCTTATTAAAAGTCTAAATATCTTATTTTCCCGCTATATATATATCATTAAACAGATTGAGTGCATACATTTTCAGATTACCATGATCAGTACAGAATATTTATATTAGAGTATACACAAGAATTTCCTCATTTCAAAGGTTTATAATTCAAATTATTTGTTATTACCTTCAGTTAATATCGAATAAACCTATGAAATATTTTTCAAGAAGAAGGTTTCTTCCTCTTTAAGAGTTTCAATTTATGTGTTCAACCATTAGTAACTATAAATGGTTTTCGGATTGGAGTTCGAATATGTAAAACCTAGTTACAAAGAAAAAATCTATTAATATAGATTCCACTAAAAATCTATTAGTTAAATTTTAGGGAATCATTTGCACAAATTACTCTTTAGATGATTGTGATAGAGAATGCTTATCATATATTATAGTGTATGCAACATTGACATGTTTTGTTCCTTAATTTTTATCTCCATTTCTGTTCATAAATCTTTGGATTGAGTTTTGAATTTTAGGGTATCATTGGAGTAAGTTTTGATGTTCTCTCTCGCATGTATATATAGGCTCTCACGGAAAGACACTGCGAAGGGGAAGGATTAAGACCACCAATTTTCTGGTTTAACAACTTAAAAGATCTTCAGATTTTTTTTAGAGCTCCAGCATTTTGCTCTCTTTTTCACATTGCTGAGTTCCTCAAACAATGCCCCAAACTTGAAAAGGTTTTGATCGATGTAAG